AAATGAGTTGGAGAAGGAAATGGCAAACTATTCCAGTATCTTTGCCAAGAAAAACCCAAATGAGATCACAAAGAGTTGAATATGACTGAAATGACTGAACAACAAATGTGCCAGGCATCGTGCTAAGCAATAGGGATACAAAAAGAAGCAAAAGACAGTCCCTGCCCTCAAGGAGCTTACAATCTAATGGGGGAGACAACATGCAAACAGAACACAATCTGTTACTGGGGTCATACTCTAATTTTTTCTAGCAAGGCAGCACATGCCAGAGTTAATAATCATTTGATTTAGCTTTCAATAACTTGAGATGACCTCCATACCACAAGGAAGGAACAGAACACGTCTTTGAAGACAACTTTATTTCTAGAGCTGAACTCAATCTCTCTACAACTTCCATCCATTACTTCTAGTTATGAAGCTTCTAGACAAATGTGTTGACATTGTCAATGAGGTGGCACTGGGGAAATATTAATAATACCACTTTCTAAAGCTTTCTGGTTAGTAGCATGTCAAATAATATGGTAGGAACTGTTTGTCTAGCTTGCCAAAGAAGGTACTGGAGGGAGGCTTAATAGGATTTTGCCAGAATAAAAGGATGGCAATAGATTATAATAATGATAATAATAATAGCTAACATTTATATAGTGCCTACTGTGTGTCAGATACTGTGATAAGCTTTTTACAATTGCTATTTCATTTGATCCTCACAAGAACCCTGGGAGGCAGGTACTATTATTATCCCCATTTTGTAGATGAGGAAACTGAGGCAAATAGGTTAAGTAACTTACCCAGGGTCACACAGCTAGTAAGTGTCTGAATTCAGATTTGAACTTGGGTTTTCTTGAGTCCAGGCCCAACATTCTACTCACTATACCCCACTGATACAAGATTTCCTTATTTCCATGTACCCATAAGTTATTCTTTATTCATGATGTTTGATCCTCTTCTTTTAATTTTTTTTTAACCAGTTCAACTTCTGGGGTCATTTACTATATAAAACTCCCATTTTGAAGACAACTTTGTAGATTGACTTCAAATCCAGAAAAAAATAACAATAAATTATTTTCTTCAAGATCACAATTTTATAGCATTCCTTCCAGGCTCCTCTTTTAGTTGAGTACTCTGAAAACATTTTCAAGGGACAAGAAAATTACTTGAAAACATTGAGCTTATTTTGTTGATTTTGCAAGATCAATTTTTTTTTTAGTCATTCTACTTTGATCTCTCTGGAGTGAACAAGTTTTCTTTAGTTGTCCTTTGCTTACCCCTCTCTTCTTCCCTCCAAGTTCTCTTTGGTCTGGAATGACTCCAAACTTGCAGCCAAATAAGCACAAGGGGTCTTTATGTGTAGTGCACTTAACATAGTGTTGCACAAAATGTTTAATAAATGTTGATTGATGAACTAATGGATCAGGGAAAGTTTGGTTTAGTAGCATTTGTGTTAGGCTTGAAAAAAATGAGGAAGCAATTAATATCCAGAGAAAGGTAATGGTTTTAGGTATGAACAAAGGCAAGAAAGTGGGAGAATGCAAGGTATTTTCATGAGGCACAGAGTACTCCAGTTTGGTCAGGTTGGGGCATGAGTGTGCAAGATTGTGGAGAACCTTGAGTGCCAAGAAGGAAAATTTGAACCTTATTCAGTAGTCAGCAGTATGTTCCTGAAGAGTTTTGAGCAGAGGGATAAAAAAGGTGGATGGATAGATGACTAAATCTATCTGTAAGGAAGGTATTTTGGCAGTAGCATGAAGAATACATTGGAGGTGGCAGAGCTGAGGTAGAAAAACTTGTTGGTAAGTTTTTTTTTAATTAAATTTTATTTTAAGTTCTGATTTGTCTATTTGTTCCTGTCTATCCCCCTTGACCATTGAGAAGGAAAGAAAAAAAAATAGAAGAAAAGGTTGGGGTTTTTTTTGTACTCTGCGTGCATCTTTTTTTTTTTTGGAGGTGGATAGCATATTTCTTCATAGGTCTTTTGGAATTGTGGTTGGTCATTATGTTGATCAGCGTTCCTTTGTCTTTCAAAGTTGTTTATCTTTATAATATTGTTACTATTGTATGAATTATTCTCCTAGTTATGCTGACTTCACTTTGCATCATGTCATACAAGTCTTCTCAGGTTTTTTTTCTTTTTCTTTCCTGAAACCACTCCCTTCATCATTTCTTATGGCACAATAGTTTATCACTTTCATATACCTTAACTTGCTCATCCGTTCCGCAAATGATGGACACCTCCTCAGTTTCTAATTCTTTGACACCAAGAAAAAAATATGTGTGTGTGTACTTACACACACACACATACACACATATTACAGATGGGTCATTTTCCTCTTTCTTTGATCTCATTGGGATATAGAACAAGTAACAGTCTTGCTGGACTGGAGGGTATGAAAAGTTTAATAGCTTTCTGGGCACAGTTCCAAATTGCTTTCCAGGTGGCTGGACCAATTCATAGCTCCATGACTGTTGCATTAATGTTCCTATTTTTCCACAGCCTGTCCAGCATTTGTTATTTTCCTTTTCATTTTTTTTTTGTCATTTGCCAATCTGATGGGTATGGGTATCAGTGTTGTTTTAATTTGCTTTTTGTAATCATTAGTAAATTAGAGTGATTTTCATATGGCTAGATTTCTTCTCCTTAAAATTATCTTTTTTCATATCCTCTGACCATTTATCAATTGTGGAATGGCTCTTATTCTTATAAAATTTGAATCAGTTCCATAGCTCTAGATTTAAATCTCTCTCCATATATATATATCTATATATACATAACATATATATATATACACATGTACATGTACATATATGTAGCTATATATCTATAATTATATCCAGGATTACAAATGAGACCTTTTGAAAAGAACCTATTTGTACAAAGATATTTCTAGCAGCTCTTTTTATAGTGGCTAAGAATTGGAAATTGAGGGGATGCCCATCAATTGGAAAATGGCTGAACAAGTTGTAGTATATTATTATAATGGGATATTATCGTGCTATAAGAAATAACAAGGAGGATCATTTCAGAAAAACCTGGAAAGACTTACATGAACTGATACAAAGTGAAGTAAGCAAAACCAGAAGAACATTATACACAGTAACAGTAATAATGTATGATGAACAACTGTGAATGACTTAGTTATTCTCAGCAATATGATGATTCAAGACAATACCAAAGGGCTCATGATGAAAAATGTTATTAGCCTCCAAAGAAAGAACTGATGGCATCTGAATACAGACTGATGCATACTATTTTTCACTTTCTTTCTCTCTCTCTCTTTTTGTTTTGTTTGAGTTTTATTCCACAAAATGACTAACATGGAAATCTTTTATATGATTGTGCAGTATAACCTATATCAGATTGCTTAGGAAGGGGAGAGAAGGAGGGATGGAATATGGAACTCAAAATTAAAAAAAAAACCACCAAGTAAAAAAATTGTTTTTACATGTAATTGAGGGAAATAAACTATCAAAAAATAAAACAAAAACAAAAAAAGACTAAAAAAAAGAAATGAGACCTTTTTCAGAGAAATTTCTTGCAAAAATTTCCTCCCTCCCATTTCTCACTTCTCATTTTATCTACTTTGTTTTGTTTATGAAAGATCTTTTGAATTTTTTAAGTAAAATTGTCCATTAAGAATTTATCATAATATATTTGGGGAGTAATGTGGGGAGTAATGTACTAGTATGGCTATTGGGAGACTAGGAAGGAGTTGATGGCATAAAGGAGTTTATGGAGGTAGAATTGATAGGATATGGCAACTGACTGGAAGTGAGAGGTGAGGAAAAGGAACATTCAAAGGCAATTCAAGGTTAGAAATACAGAAGATAATGTGTATGATGGTGCCACAGACATAAATTGTGAAGTCAGAAATATAGCCAAACTTGAAGCAAAAGATGATGTTTGATTTTGAAAATGGATATAGTAAGAATGGGCTGAAAGTCACAAGTAGAAAGATTATTCTTAGTAAGTAACAGGGATTGATTTCAATGTTAAGAAATTCAGGAATGCAGAAGTGGGGCTAAGGGACTTCATATTGGTTGGTTTCAGCCATCTCAGTGAAGGAAATTAGATCTGCTGTATGTGCAAAGTGGGAGTGAGATGGTAGAAGAAAAGATTTGCAATAGTTGCTATGTAGCACGAGATAGGGACTCAAGATTAAATATGAAGGCAAATGAAGCCAAATTGAGAAAATGAACTGGGGCAATTGAGATGAATCAAGGGAACAAGGATCATAATAAGGGCAAAAAATCAGTTTAGTATCAATGAAGGAATAGGGTAGGTAAAAGGATAAGAGGTTGTAATATGAAAGTAGTTTGGTTACCTAACCTGAAGGAGTTTCGGAGGTAGAAGCACATTAACCCACTTGCCCAGAGTCTCAGAACTAATGAGTATAAGAAGCTGAATTTGAATCCAGATCCTTGCTTCAAACCTACACCCACAATTGTTTCTTCAGTTAAATATAAAACTAAAAATATATACTCCACTCATAATCAATAACAAAAATACTATAATTATCTGATACAACAATATTTACTTATAATTGTCTTTTCCAGTCAATATACTTAGAACTAGAGAATTTCATCTCATTTTTCTTCTGGTAGCACTTGTAAGTTTTGAATAGGGATTTTTTGAAGTTTAAAAATGCTGTCATCCTTTGAGTTTTTTGGTAAGCATTACTGATTTACAGAGAAATTAGATTTCACAAAGAGATCTGAGGCACTCTAGCTGATGACTTTTCCCTTGAGTGCAGCCCGCAGAGGGGAAAAGGAAGCAAAAGAAGTTTGACATGAATAGCCAGGGTAACTGAAGAAAAGATTACCTAAAATGTCCTCAGCATTTGCCACCCACCCAAAGCCTACTAGTGCTCAATTGAACATGCTCATATAAAACAAAGGAGTGGACTTCAGAGGGGCACTCATTCACTGTCTCCTGAGCGGGTGTGAAAGACACACTTGCTCCAATCAGAGGGAGTCCACTGCCATAAGCAAGAACGAAAGAGCAAGAGAAGACAAAGCATTTGCATTTTGCTAGTGGAGAAGGATTTATTCATCTGCATAAGGTAAACTCCCTATACTACAAAGAGCATCTCAAAGAAAGGCATTCCTTCCCCTTTACTCTAACTGGGAAGCTACTCTCTTTAATATCCAGCAGAGGGGTAGTTTCTTGGGTGGTAAAACCTTTGCCCAGGCCAAGTTGTTGCTGATTTTAGTAACCACGGAAGGAATGAAACAATATTATTCCTCAGAGATTAGTATGAACAACTCTCAGGAAGTAGAGGGAAGGAGGAGGGAATTACCTGTAAGGATGCAAAATCATAGTTAAGGAAAGGTTTGCATTTAAAATGTTGTCTTAAGAATGAAATTATCATTTTTTTCCTCTGAAAAGGTAATTGTATTCTACACATCCCCTTGACTGAGGATGAGTGAAATTTAAAACAGACCTGGTTATTTATTTATTTACTTAGTTACTTTATTTAGAAAGGGAGGGAGAGAGTTAACAAGAAAGGAAAGAAGAAAAGGAAGGTAAGAATGGAACGAAGGAAAGAAGGAAGGAAAGAAGGAAGAAAGGAAGTTTGTTTGCTGAAGTAGAGAGGACCCCAGTAAAAGCAGCCTGAGCATGGCGGTGGCAGGCTTTTCTATCTCCTCAGGTTTGCCAGGGGATAGAAAAGTCCTACAAAGTCCACCTAATTCCTCTCCCCCTTCCCCTTCTTTCACCACTTTCCTCTCATTGTACTTATAGGGGAATCTCTATAGTAATTGTGCGCTAGTGACATACGAGTACCAGAAAACGTTAAGCGCGTGGCTCACTGGCCAGTCTGGCCTGTGGTTCATCATGCCAGAATGGCACTGGGTAACTGATGGACGGCTAGAACTTCACAAATTGCCCACGAGAGGCTCCTTTTCTTGAGATTCTGAAGTTGATTTGTGTCAGATCATACATAGCTTTCTGGGCAATCGGGATAAACCCATCTTTTCTCTCTCCTCTCCCCTCTCCCTCCCCTCCCGCCCACTTCTGGAAAAATTCTCCATCTTCTTGAGCGCCTCTTGGGCTGCTGCCCGCTTCCCAATGCACGGCTTTTTGGGAAATTGAGCTGCAAGGACTGAGGCAGGGGCTGATGGACCGGGTAGGGGTACTTTTCCGGCACAGCAGTGCCAATGCCCTCCCCGCCGGGCAGAGAGGGGGAGAGATCCGAGAGGGTAAACGAGTAGTAAGGCTCTGGGGGGCCAGAGATATATAGAAAGTTATAGAAAGGCTACTTTTTAGTCCTAAACAAGACCCTCACTTTTTTTTTTTTAACCGCTCTCTCTCCGCCTCCAACATCCTTTTTCTTTGCCGAGTTTCTTTCCCGAGTCATCTGAGTCTCCTTCTTCCCAAGTCAAGGTTAGGAATTCGCCTCAGACACGTGCTGAGCATGACACCGGGAGGATCTAAATGTTGCTGTTTTCTTTCTTTTTCTCCTTACTTCTTTCTCTTCAGACTCACGGAAGATGCGGGCAATTAGCGAATGGCCCAAGCTGCCTACCCTCTTCCTTTTCATTCTCGCTTTGGCCTCCCAGGAGAGCCAAGAAAACCCCCGGGGCCGCAGGGAAGCAGGCGCGCAGGGAGATAAAGAGAAGCTTCTCCATCTCCTTCCAGCGCCCGTAGCTTCCAGTAGCACCCACGTCCCTCAGCAGCTCAGCGCGGGCAGGGTGCGCTCCTCTAGCCAGCGGGAGCGCGTAGTGTATGCCACCACCTCCTCTACTTCCTCCTCCTTCTCCGAACCCCCGAGGGACCGAGACGACCGGACGCTGCGCTTCTCCGCCTCCTCCTCCATTGAACCAGCCGGCTCCTGGCTCCTCGGCGTACCAAGGAGCGCAGGTAAGAACCAATTCCAAGACCTGTTTCTTTCCTTCGCTACCTGTTCGGCGGACCTGACCTGCATCCAGCTTCTGGATGTTGGAACGGACTAGGGCTTGAGAGAGCCTCCTATCTCACGCCAGAAATTACAGTCTCATTGAGAAAAACAAAAACATAAAGTTTACACCCTCTCTGAAGCTTTCCATTCTAAAGCCTGCCCCTTAGAATTGGTACTTCGGTCCGGGGACTTTGAGAAGAGAAGAGAGGGAAAGGGTATATTCGGGGATCCAAGGAAGAAGAAAGGGAGTAAATTATGCTGAGGCGAATGGAAGTCTCAGTCACGCAAATACTCTACATTAAACTCTTCTGCACGAATTTGGGCTTTGGTTTCATTTGAAGACAGTGAGAGGTTTACATTTCTTCCCAGTTGGCCACACACGTTGATTTCCGTTATTATTAAAGACAGAGGGGTTGAGTGCAAGGATTGCTGAACTGAGAGTAAGCACTATATAAATCTAAATTTTTTTAAAATTTTATTTTTAGGCAATTGGGGTTAAGTGACTTGCCTGGGGTCACACAGCTAGTAAGTGTCAAGCGTTTGGTCTGAGGCCAGATTAGAACTCAGGTCCTCCTGATTTCAGGGCTGGTGCTCTATCCACTGTGCCACCTAGGTGCCCCTTAAATCTAAATTATTTAGTGCTGGATTTAGGATCTGTGTTCGAAATAGGGTTCTGCTGTTTATAAACAGTGTGACCTTGGGCGTGTCAAAAGCTCTCTGGGCCTCTAAGATTCCTTCTAGCTTGAAATCTACTTTCCTAGGATCTGAATTTCCATCAGTAATCAGCTTCTCTAGGTCTTTTAAAATATAAATGGGTCTGGAAAGAGACAGAATCCCCCAAAGTACTTTGGGGAGCAAGTTGCCAGGAGGTGGACGGTGGGAGGAGAGAAAAGACTGGCAATGGAGAGAATGGGTAGAGAGGGAAGTTAATGAGAGAAAGCTGAAGATAAAGGCTAGAGTGAAAAGGACAAATTAGAAGGAAGGTCTATAAAATTATAAGGGAAAGAGAAGATAGTAATTACATATATATCATAAAGCACATCCACATATGTTATTCCCTTAGTCCCTGGACACTTGGGACAAGTTATTGTTTTAAACCTCTTCCCCCACACACCTCTTCAGCCAGTGACTAAGTATTGAGAATATAGTTTTACGGTTGAAGAAGCCAAGGACCGGCAAATAACTTCAAGGGGGTTACATTGCTGAACTAGAACTAGAATTCAGATCTTCTGATTCCAAGGCCAGTGGACAAGCCTCTGCACTATTGCTATATCAAGCTAGCAAAATGCCCTGGAAAACTTGAAGAAATGAAGTTTGAAGAGATGGTTTCTTTTTTTCATCTTTGCCCATTGGTCTTTAGTACTAGATTGTTGTTGATTTTTTTCTATCTGTGTAGAGTCATATGATCATAGATTTAAAGCTGGAGGGGCCTTAGAGGTTATGTAAACTTTGCCTCTATTGTTTGCATGCCCATAGGAAACTCACCACCTCTCTGTTTTTGTTGTTCAGTCATTTCATGTCTCACTCTTTGTGACGCCCATTTGGGGTTTTCTTGGCAAAGATACTGGAATGGTTTGCCATTTCCTTCTCCAGATCATTTTACTGATGAGGAACTGAGGCAAACAGGGTTAAGTGACTTGTCCAGGGTCACACAGTAGAAAGTGTCTGAAGCCAGATTTGAACTCAGAAAGAGGAATCTTCCTGACTCCAGGCCTGGTGCTCTCTCCACTTTACCTCTTAGCTGCTTCTTCATATGATCCTTGTATGTAAAATGAAGGGATTGGACTCAAAGTCTCTTCCAGCTCTAAATCTATAATCCCTAACCTTAAATAACAGAGAAGGTATTTGAGCTCAGTTCTTTGGCTGCCAATCCAGCACATTTTGCATTGTACTACATAAAGTGCCCTATGTAAATCTCAGATCGATGATATCCCCTGTTCACCTCCTGACTTTTAGAAACCATCCCTGGAAGACTAAGTAATGTAGTCACAAACCCAGACTATAAAGAAACTATAGTTGTTTCCACTTAGACCCAGTATCTCCAGGCAGACTACTTCTTCCTCAGGGCAGTTCCTTAAAGCCATCAATCTTGACCCATAAAATAAACATAAAATGATTCCCTGTGGCTGTGTCCCATCTATATAGCAGGCCTCCTGACATAATGCTCTCATGACCAGGAATTAAGCAGAAGAATGGAAACTCAAGGTTCCTGCCAGACCCTAACTTGGCTGGGGCATACCATATATATTCAGGCCCCTCTACCTCATTTTTCACATTGTGCAAATAGAGAGAATCTAGGACAGTGGAATCAAAGGTCTGTCACAGGACCTTTTCCTTTTTAGTAATAGAAATTGTACAAGTTTGAGGTAGACCAAAGTTATGATACTGTAAGTGTTTCATTCATACAAACTGATTTTAATATATTTTTAGCTCATTCAACCCAAATTATAGCTAAGAAAGAAAATTTTTCTGTATGGGATGTAAAGGCGGTTAAATTTCTAGGAAAAATAAATGTTCAGTGGCTCCCTATTGCTTCTTCACAATCTGAGTCCTATTTCCTTTTCCAGTCTTACTTTATACTGCTCCCCTATGAACACTCTCTATTTCAATCAAATTGATCCATTAGCAGTTCACCAAACAAAAGCATGCTATAGATATAGCTTACTTAGATTTTAGCAAAGCTTTAGATAAAAATCTTATTCTGTCTTTGTACAGGAGATGGGGAGATATAGAGTAGATGATAATGTCATTAGATAGATTTAGAACTGGGTGAATGTCCAGTTTCAAAGAGTAATTGTTAATAGTTCAATGATGCTGTGGCAGGATGTCTCTAGTGGAGTACCTCATGGATATGTGATTGGCTATTTAACATTTTTATCAGTGACTTGAATAAAGGCCTAGATGGAATGCTTATCAAATTTATTGAGGACACAAAGCTGAAAGAGCCAGATAACATATGAAATGATAAATTTAGGATCCAGACAGCTAGGTGGTGCAGTGGACAGAGCACCAGCCCTGGAGTCAGGAGGAATGGAGTTCAAATCCGGCCTCAGACACTTACCAGTTGTGTGGCCCTGGACAGGTTAGGTAACCCTGATTGCTTCCAAAATAAATAAATAAAATACATAGAACTGTGTGTGTGTGTTCATAGGGATGGAACATTGTACTGTATCGTATTGTACTTAGGATCCAAAAGGGTCTTGATAGGCTGTTAAACACTGGACTTAATTAAATAAAATGAAATTTCACAGGAATATAAATGGAAATCTTAACACTTGGGTACAAAAAAAATCAGCTTCACAAGTATAAGATGGAGGAACCCTGGTTAGAAAACACTTGTTCTGTAAAGGAAATGGGGGGGGGTGATGTTTAATGGACAATTTCAATATGAATCAGCAGTGTAACATGGTGTAACTAATTTGATCTTGGTAGCTTTAAGAAAATTATAGCTTTCAGGAAGGCGAGGGCAGAATCCCATTGTACTCTTTCCTCATCAGACCTCTTTTGGAATATTGTGTTTACTTCTGGTCACATGATTTAATAAGTACATTGATAAACTGGAGAGTATCTCTATGGAAGACTTGAGATCATGTCGTATGAAAACTGGCTGAAAGAACTGAGCATGTTTAGTGTGGAGAAGAGAAAGCCCCAGGGGGACAGTATAACTGTCTTCAAGCATCTCCAAGGCTGTCATGTGGAAAAGACATTAAACTTGTTTTGTTTGAGGTCAGACGGTAGAAACAGGAGTAATGAATGGAAATTTCAAAGAAGGCAAGATAGGCTTGATGTCAACTCCCCAGCAGTTAGAGTTTTTCAGAAGTGGCATGAGCTGCATCAAGAGGTGGGTTCCTCATACTTGGAGGTCTTTAAGCAGAGACTGGACAACCACTTCTAGACATGTTATGATGGAGATTAGCCTCTTTCAGCTTTCCAATTCTGTGATTCTGTGAGTATACATTTTTATTAGATGAATTGAAAGGCTGCTCTTCCTCTCTCATTAGTCTGTTGTGTAAATCTACATGTTTTTTCTGGGGGGGTCTGGACCAATGACTTTATTGTTATAGAGACTTTCAGTGATAAAATTCTCTCTACCAATGAGTATCTAAAACTGTTCTAAAATTTAAAGTCTTAGAAAAATGCCTGGGACACTTAAAGGTTAAGTGACTTGCTGAGGGTTATACAGCCAGTATATATCAGAAACAAAACCTGAATCCACATCTTCTGAACCTGATTCTGGCTCTCTAGCCTCAGCCATGAAGCCCCTTTTGTATTCATATTTTGACTTTTAATTCCATTGCTAGAATACAATTATAGAAACAAGGATTTTCCCTTAGAATTTTAGATCTTATAGCTTTTGTATGGGGAGGCAGAAGAGAAAGCACTGAAAATGGTTGCTCGTTTGCTATAGGGAGAGATGAAGGAATCACAATTTATTTTTCCCCTCACAAACCTATGGTAGTTGTGAAGAGAGTTGTAAAAGTGTGAATTAGACATATGCTAGTATATTCTGGCATATACACAGGTATTCATCGGCATCTAGGAATTCCACAAGCATTCATACATACATATATGTATACATATATATACACACATATATACATATAAACAGAATACATTTTCTAAAAATTTACTTTTAACTTACATGAAATATATCATTTTTTAAAACCTTAGTCAGCTATAATATATTCTCTAAATGTAATTTAATTAGAATTATTTCAATTTCTTGTATGTTTTTGAAATGATCTGGTTTTTATTGTTTCAGAAAACACTGGCTGTCACCCTTAAAGTAACTAAACAAAAGCCTCAGTTTCTTCATTGGTAACATGGCTATGCTAATGCCTGTCCTATTTGTCCCTCAGAATGGTTGTGTGGATCAAATAAAATGACATATGAAAAATACTTTGTCAGTTACAGGGTGTTACTGTTAGTATAGACAAGAAGGTTGTTCAGCTGAACTGAGTGG